CAATGCTAATTTAATTAATTAATACAAGACATTTAAAAAAATGCATCTTCTTAATATATTTGTGTTAGTGTGTATTTTTGTGTTTTTTGAGTGTACTTTGACTAATAATAAAAAAACTTTTTTTTTTTATTAAAAAGAAAAGTGTTATATCTTCATCAAAATTTTAAGGTAAATCATGTAATATATTATTATTTGGAAGTATAAATTTGCCAGTTATATAAGGTAAAAATGATAACTTGCTGAAAACAAATTATATTGAAATCTCATTTCTCGTTGATATAAAAAAGAACGCCCAGAGGTAAACTGTTTTTAATGTAACATTGTGTTAGGTTGCTTACTCGAATAATAAAGCCGAAAGATGTTAGGGGGCAAGTACCACTGAACCGTTTATTTTTAATAAGAAACAAGCACTGATCAACCACACAAACAAAAAGAATCAATAGAATATAGTTGTGTCTAAATGTTTATAAAATATGAAATAAATAGTTTATATGAGTTGACACAAGGCAAATTATATGCGAACGTTCCGTTGGTGCGGTCAACTCGGTATCACGAAGGTGTCTTCATGTGTATTTGCGGTAGGTCGTTGTCGGACTTCATTTAATAGAGGTTTAAGGAAGATAGGTTTTTTGGTCAGATCAACGAAAAATTATCAATCCTCATTATGAATTTCAAAAAATATTAAACAAATCTATCAAAACGTACAAATTCTATGACTTTAAACTAGACGCAAATTGTGATTATTTGACGTATCAAACCTTATTCGACAATACATACATTAAAATTTTCGATACGAACCTGAGAAGGTATTAATTTTACTATGATGTGTTTTTGTTTTTCTGTCTGTCGTCAATTTTCTTAGTTCTCATCGAACCAATTTCTTTCAAAAATACGTCAAAAGATCATAAATTGTAACTTGTTGAAGAAATAGTCCTTAAAAACTAAAATACTTTCCCTCGTTCCCTGTAAATGGGAAAAAACTCCCAAATAATTTTTTTTTTAATTGGTTATAGTAAAGCGTAATGGACATTATATGTATTCCTGATTGAATACATGTGACTATTTTTTATGGGGATACCTCAAAGATAAAGTATTAAACATCGACCTAAAACTATTGAGGAACTAAAAGTGACTATTTATCAAGAAATTTCCGGTATTCCACTTGATATGCTGAAGAAAATGATGGAAAACTTTTGAGAAAGGCTTCAAATGTGCATCGTTCGTCAAGACAATCATTTGGACGATATAATTTTAAAAAATAATTTATAAAAAATGTTAAGGGTAATGTCTTCAACTAGATACGATTAGTGATATTTTGACGTATTGTTGAAAAAAATGGTTCAGTGAGAGCTGAGATAAAGTAGTGACAGTTACAAAAAAAAAAAAATAATAAACACATCATGGTAAAATTAATACCTTCTCAGCTTTGCATCTAAGCTAAAAACCTTATACAATGTCGTTTTTATAATTAAAATTTTTTTTTCATATCTTGTATCGTTATATTAAAATTCATTTTGGAAATATGGGAGTCCATTACGCCGCCCCCTGTATGATTAATTATTATAAATCTACAGAGTGTTCAATAAGTTTGGAAAAAATGATTTTTTAGAGCCGCTATTGATTTTTTTAATAAATTTTTTTTAGAGGCTAATTTAATAATTAAATGCATCTTTTACAATTAAAATTAAAGTTCAATCCTAGTATAAAAGGGTAAAAATCTACCCTAACTTAAGAAATTTTAATGGCAACCCCTAATTTTTCTTACTCATTTCAATAGACAATTCAATTTTAAAAAGAATCATAATGAAATCAGCTTGTTTTAAGTGATTATGTGTAAAAGAAACTAAGTTATAAAATGGATAACTATATTACATTGTAAGTTGTAATTATTAATAGAACACTTATTATACTTATATTATTATAGAACACTTATATTATTTATAGTTATAAATATTTTATATTTCTAAATCATGTTTCGTAAAAAAAATTCACTGATGTTATAGGGGCTTTAATTACTTGTGTTACTTAAATAAAAGTTTGTTTAATACTAATTTTGTATAAATAATATTAATATTATAATTGAAAAAGAATATTAATAAAAAAAAAAATTAAAAATTTATAATATACTTTTATCACAATAATACTAGTATTTGTCGTTCATTATTGATTTAAGTTAATTTTAAAAATTATTTTTAACTTTTTAGTTCGATGTGCTTTAAAAGCGTGTTTTTTAGTTTTTTTAAACTATATTTATTAATAAAATTAGATAATTTTAAAGTTCTTTGAGTAGAAACGAAACATATGTATCATTCAAAGCGAAATCAAATTTATAATTAGTTTTATGGACCTTAGAATAATAGCTTGTCATTAATGAGTAATTGGATTCTAAAAACGATAATCATTTAATTTTTGATTTTGGCATAGTATTGAAATTATTCTAAATTACTTCAAATGGACACACTTGTGTTAGGTAACACAAGGTGTTCGGTTTATCATAAACCACTGGATTAGTCGTAAAATAAATTCAATTTTGAAAAACAAATTTTCAAAACAAATAAAATTAAAAATTATCTAATTAAAAAAAAACCCAGCACAGTGGGGTCGCGGTATAGTTGGATCAAGTATAATGATATCTGACAGTAATTAAAATCACTATAAAAAAAAAAACGCTTCGATGCAAATCTTTAGATAGTGTTTAATTTTAAAAAATTGGTGTATTATTCCAAAAGCTACATGATCTGCTAGTTCCTTATTAATATCTTGATTAAGATAAAGTATGTCAAATGAAAGTGGGATTATTAAAAAATATTATTTCTCATAAAAAAATTGTGTTGATCCATACACTTTTCAATAAGTTATAGCATTATAAAATTAAAAATATAAAAAATAAAATCGAGAATTTTCACACAAAAATAGCATTCGGTAGCCATTTTCGCAGTGAAGAAAAGTCCAGAGGTCAAATTTTTTTTTTCAAATTAAATTATATTACATTACCTTTAATTTAAGACATATATAAAAGTGTTAGACTTTCCGGAACACTTTCAAAAGTTAAGTTGAAAAAGTTCTACTTTCTATATGCATTTTTAATATTTAAAGTCCCCCCGTATATAGGGAAATGGTCTGATTTAAAAAAAAAGTATGTCGAATGAAAGATGTATATAAATACTACTTCTCATGAAAAAATTGTATTTATCCATACATTTTTTAAAAAGTTATAGCCTTTTAAAGTAAAAAATGTAAAATATAAAATCCAGAAATTTCACACAAAAATAGCATTCGGTAACCATTTTCACTTACTACTAAAGTGTCAGACCTTCCGGAACATTTTCACAAGTTAAGTTGAAAAAGTTAATTTTTTGTAAAAAAGTTGTCATTTTAAATCCCCCCCTGTAAAGCGTTAAATTTATAAAAATAATATACCAAATGATAGATAAAGACATCAAGCATCTATAAAAAAAAAAAATTATACTGATATGTTCATTTTTTAAAAAGTTACAGCAGTTTTTAGTAAAAAAAAATTGAAAAAATTTCGAAAATTAGCGATTTTTAAATTTGTAATTTTTTTGG